CATACACGAATGCACAAACCGTGCATAAACAAAGCAAACTTTAAAATTTTACGGTTAGTTCGAGCAGAAAGTTTGGGTTTGATAACGGGTTATTGACATCATGGACCCAAATGGTTCCTTGATAAGATGATTTTGCGATGAGAATCGTAATATTTCTCACTTTTGCAACGATGCCAGTGTTTCCAGTTTCTTAAACTGCGTTTCAATAAACGCAGTTTGTGAAACGTACCGAAACTCTGGTGAAAACGGTCCGTCGTTAAACGCGTTTAATTTCGGCGTTTAAATAAACTTAGTTTCGTCAAACTGCGTTTCGCTTGTTTCTGATGAAAATGGGCCTTAGTTGGCGCTCCCGCGCTACTCACTTGCTATGTTCAGTCGCTTTAAAATACAGATCATCAGGAGCGTCCATCCAGCTAATCACTTGTTTACGCCCGGATCCACTTCGGGTCATTTGAGCGATCTTTGGCTTTCCGTTCACTTGGGCCACCTGGCGAGGCATCGGCCCCGAAAGCCCTGCGGGCGTATGGGCTTGGACTGCGGCCGCCATCATCATCTGATACTGGTCTGCGTTAGAACTCAACGCCGTGTTTCCTGCAAGAGGCCCTGTTCCTGGCAGGGCGGAGGAGGCGACTGGGTGGCGCGAGATGGGCATCGGCTCTTTAGACATCCGTTTCGCGGGTGGGGCGTTTAGACAGGAACCTGAAAAACCATCAATCGATTGCTTATTTTTCGGGTTCTCAACAAGATCAGTGCATTTCGCTGCGCTCTCACTTACCCTCGTCCCAGTCCAGATCGGAGTAGAAATCAATAGAAACAAATAGTGTTAGTATCTTATCTAAATTGTGGTCCAACCACAATGCACGATGTTAATTATCAGTCACGCAAGTTTTTTGCCCAACTTAATTGGGCCCAAAACGCCCAAAATGTATAATGCCCGGTTTCTCAACATTTGCCATAACTATGTAGTGGATAAAGTTATAAGACCAATAAGATTTTATGGGTTTCCGAACGGTGACAGACAAAGTCATATCAGGCTCATAACAATCCGTTGGATAAGTACCTTTTTAATTCGACCGACAGAGGGAACTGTTTGATAGGGTATGTTCCATTTTGACTGGTAGTACGTCAGGTGCGAAATACCGGTAAAAAACAAGCGGATAGTAAAGAACTTTCACTTTTGTGCATCGCAAGCTAGATGACGCCACCAAGAAACGCATTTTGATCGGTCGGTGAACATATGGTTTGAAGATGTTTAAAAAAACCGCCACAGATTTGATGTAAAAGCTCTCGGGTTTTTATCTGAATTCAGCATAACTGTTCACTAACGGACAATGAATTCCTTCTCACAGTATATGTTTTAAAGTAGTCCCCAATAAGGTCCAATAATACACTGAAACAGTGTTTCGTTAAACGAAACCTGTCGCGAAATTCAGAATCTCCATATTTGTTCATTTGGTCTTCTCGTTCAGGATACCGTCTTGGCCGTTCAATATAACTTAGAAGTTCAATAATTTCATCATCAGAAGATGAACTCAAATTATCCATTTTAAATAATTATAATAAATTTGTATACGTTAAACAAAACTAAACTGTTATGCAATGCTGTTATGTAATAAGAATAGGTTATGTTAGGTTAGAATCGCTCTGTTGTAAAAGTGAAAACAAACCCTACACGCTTGCGTCAGGCGTTATGAAGCCGATATCCATCCATCTTCGAGTAGATATCTATTCGATAACTTATGGAACCAATAAGCTTTAAACATACGTTGAGAAACCCAACAGACGTGATTTTGGTAGTTTATGAGACTCATAAGCTTATGTAACCGATATGTTGGAGTTACAAATTTAAGTAAAGTATAAAATCGTTTCTCTCTTAACAATAGAGTGATGATCGAGAACCAGAGTTGCATTTTCCGATAGTGCATATTTACATTGTGAGTGATTAAACAATGCCGCTGTGATTCAAGACCTAAAATGCATTTGAAATGTGATCACATGGACAAACATCTCCAAATCCATTTGCGGTTAAAACTACGGTTCATTTCAACGAAAGACCAAACCGGATTTTTTGTCTTATCTGGAACTACTAAAGTTGAGCTACAGGAAGAAGTCGGGATTGATCTTAAGTTGATACATCCTTATGCTATGTCATAAATATACCATCACCGAACCCTGTTAAATACCAGAGTATTATTGCAGAAAACTCCTGAAGTCTACTAAGCTAATCAGTGGTAAGAAAATTCTCTAAATAGCAAAGGGACAATTTTCTTACCTAGAAATAACAGGAATCATTAAAATAGTTAAGTTGATCAAAGAACACTTTGACTGGAAAGCCTGTGATGGCACGTTTCTATCTAAGGATGATTAGTATTTGCTAAAGTAATTTTGCAAACTTCATTGATCAAGAAAGAAGGTGGTTGATTTTTCGTATATGGCAAGTAGGAAGTAAACGCCCTCATCAACACAAATAAAAACGGAACAAGTTGCAGTTGGTCTAAACATCACAAACGTGTTTTTCTCGCTAACTAAACGCGCTAAGTATCTTCAGCTCAAAATCGTCGTTTTCGTTGGAATTTAGGAAGTTTTATGCAAATTTATTTCTCAGCTGGTTTCTCTTCGGAAATGTAACTTTGTCGTACAAAGTTTTGTGCTTCAGTGTTTGACAAATTCAACCATGGAGAGGTACACAGTTGAGCAGCGTGTTAAGATTGTTGAAGCCTTTCACGAAAATGGGCGTTTCGTGCACTTCGTGATCCTTTTGGTCAGCATAATCGACCAAATCTGTCCACAATCAGCAGAATTGTGCGCAAATTTCACCAACCAGGTCTGTAAGACATGTGAATCACCTGTGCATGCTCGCCCAGTTCGTTCTACGGAAAACATTGCTGTTGTTCGCGATAGTGTGGCAGAAGAGCCGTCAACCTCGACTCGTCGTCTTGCCCAACAAGTGAACTTATCACGAACATCACTAAGGCCAATTTTGAATTTACACGCTTAAAAGGTTCAATTGACTCAAGAGCTGAAACCTACTGACCATTTCAAGCGTCGTCGATACGCCGAAGGGTTGATTGAACAGACTTGAACAGACAGTTAATGGTGACTTCACAAAGAAAATAATTTTAAGCGAAGATGCACACTTTTGCCTCAGTGGACTCGTTAACAAGCAGAATTGCGGCATTTGTTGAAAAGCCGATGCATCCAGAAATAGTGACTGTTATTGTACTTCTTCGAAAATGAGGTCTACCAAGCAGTTACCGTGAATGGTGTTCGCTATCGCGAGATTTTAACGGACTTTTTGCGGCCAGAAATTGAGCATTTGCTTGCACTTGCCACACAGCCAACGAAACAACGGCTCTTTTGCGCTAGAAACTCAATTCACCTCGATCATCTGATTTGACACCGTTGGACTTTTTTCTTTGGGGATATTTAAACGAAAACGTGTACGTCACTGGGCCAAGAACAATTCCAGGATGAGATAATTCGGCACAATAACGACATTGAACCTCTTTTTACATAATAACATAATTGTCATAGATCCTTCTATCATAACAAAGAAATATTGAGATAATTCGCTAAAAAGTTTTTGTTTCATTTACAATTAGCATCGTGCGTTTAGGTTGGACCACCCTTTAGTACTACCTTCTAAGTGGAATTGGTCGCTGAACTCGATTCGAAAAGTGAGAAACAAAAACTCCATTCAGCAACCGATAATTCTCCACGTGCACACGGATTGAGCGGGTGCAAAAATCTGCAAAAATCTACTTACTGTCGATACCATTCATTTCCTCGTACGCCCTGCGCTTCAAAGACGGAGACATATTGTTTACAGGTATTTTGTCAGCATCCGGTTTATTTGGAACGCGTTCGTACATCAAGCTACCGTCTGGGGCTTTTGGAGGCTTGGGAAAAGCCACCACATCAGGCTGTGGTAGCAGTGTCTAGAACATTCCACTTTAGCTATTTGCATTTGATCCAAGAACACAATGAGTCCCAAAAGTAATGCCTCTGATTCATTTAAAAATCGGCGTTTTTTGGGAAAAGGCTCGCAACCATCAAATTTACATATAAAAATTCGAAATGAATTTAGACACTCCTTCTGGGACTGTATACTGAGCAGTTACCTTATTGGTTAAAAGAAGCCACTGAGGCGTTGCAGCATCGGGAAGCAGCGTGCCCAGTCTAGTGGCAATCGCAGTCACGCTGCCTCGGTTTCTTTTGCAATACAGCAGCAACTGTTGCAGTTCCTCGTGGGTTTTGTTCGCCTGAAAAGCGGAATATTTCAATTTTTTTATAGACATTGCCACTTAAGGCTTTTAGTCTTTCGTGCTGGCCCATGAGTGATCCTGGGCGAGGAGGGGAATGAGCAAAAAAGCGGAAAATATAAGTTTTGGGTAATTTGGAAGAAGCTTAGTTGAAAGAATGTTTAGTTTTTATTAAAGCCGGATTTTTGCTTAAGGTCGGTTTGAAGTGGAGTTTTGGGGTTGTTCGGCAACAAGTCTATTGGATTAGGGGATTTGTGTGGTCGAGGATTCTGGTTTTGCACTGTTTGTGAAGTTTTGAAATGAATTCCTGAATGGTCTTCAGTTCTAGGTTTTTGTGGATTTGGGTGTTTCGAATGTATGTGTGCTCTGATCACTTGTTTGTAAATTAGTTTTGTTTTTGAGTGAGAGCGTGCTTCTGTATTTAAGTAGGCGGCAGTTCGAATTACTTTTTTAATTACAGTAAAGTCCGCTTATAATGAACCCGGTTATAGTGAACTTTCGGCAAAAACGAACTTTTTTCCTTTAATTGAAACGTTACATTACCATACAGGCCAACACAGGCCATACAGGCCAACGTATTTTTTACTGGTTATATAGCGATGGCTTTTTAGGGTAGTTAGTATATTCAATTTCCGTTCATAACGAACTTGACGATGGTTTACAACACCCACATGTTAAATCAGAACAAATCAAGTGCGAAGCACCAACCTATGGATCAAGGAGTAATAAATACATTCGCTAAAATGTCATTACAGAAAAATTCTTCTTAGGAAAACGAGGCAACCGATAAAAATGAAACATTTTCTATAAGTCTCTTAGATGCAGTAAATTTCATTCATTGAGCTTGGCAAAAAGTTGGCCAAAAAACCATTGCAAATTGCTTTAAGCATGGTGGATTTGTAAGAAAAGGAAATGATTATGAACCAGACGATGAAATTCCCCTTAACGAATGGTTAGAAAAGCATAAAGGCTCTGACTACGAGTATGACTCAGATGAAGATGTGAGCATTGATAATGACTAATTGATGATTTAGAGTCTATTATTATGCCAATATATTTGGCTGCCTTTGTGTATTCGATTTGTGTGTTGTTTAGTGTTTGTTGACTGTTTTTTTTTTTAGTTATTATCATGAATTTGGTTTTTTCAGTTAATTTTGATTGTCCAGGTGTCGGCCCAGGCTTGAAAAGGGTTTAAGTGTCGTTGTAAAGGTGGGATATAGTAGTCCATGTTTTTATTAGAATAATAGAGGCTCGTGCCATCAGCAAAGAGAGCATCAGCTGTGTATAGGTTGTAAAGAGTTGGGGAAACCTGGGCGCCTTGTGGGACTCCTGCTTATACAGGGTGATTCAAAATTGGCGTCATTCCTTTTAAGGGGTGATAGAGGCTCCCTTGGGGAGTACGAGAAAAAAATTGAAAATTTTTTTTTAGAAAATTTCTACAAGATATTTATATATAACTTTGTTATTAAGCCTTATTTTGAAATGTTTCCATGTTTAATTGGTAGCATATTGGAATACTTAAGCATTCAAAAAGAAAAATTAAGACCTTTGCTTCAAATTACGAAAATTTTTGATACCAAAAAAGTTCTCTTCTACAATTTTTTGATGAAAAGGCACAGCGGCAATGATGTTTTTTGTCATTAACAGATAGTTACAGGTGGACAGCCCCCGTCAATAATAACAATAATTTGTCAAACTGTGACTTACTTTGAATTTCCTTTCACGAATTTGCTGATATGCGATTAGTTCAGGGGAAATGCTACAGTAACATAGCAGAAGCTGAAAGAGCTCACGCCAACAAAGGGCGAGGAGAGTGATTCCAGGAAGATAGTGGAAGACAATCGATGTTCGGGTTCCAAGCACAGAGGAACAAGTATTGGGCATAATCGAATCAGGGCCTTACAGGGACACTCAGAGCACAATAACTGACACTTTCCCAAGCACCAAATAAATAGCGAGGAAGGGCTACATTCCTACCACGTTTGTACGATACACACAGCACAAGGAGATACAAATGCAGCAGAGTTAATTAACTGAATACGAGAAGCTGCTTGATAAGAGTAGATAATAAGGAAATTACACAGGCACTAGCTTGTTTGGAGTTAGCAGAAAATAGCTATCGAAACGTCAAGGTAATTTTTCAAATTAATTTCTCTACTAATTGGAATGTTCTCTTACAGCTTGAGCCTAAGTGTGTCGC